TTTACTGAAATAAGCTTTTTGTGATAAACTTCGAAAAAAAGTTTTTTTTTTTTTTTTTTTTTTTTTTGTGTGTGTGTGTGTGTGTGTGTAAGAAAAGTGCTAAATTTTACTATGTCTAACAAAGTATTCTGTAAATTACTCTAAAATTCAAAATATTTCAAAAGCTCATTTCCGTATAATCAAATAGGTATATTTTAATTACACAAAAAATTCCAAGCGTATACCTGCAGCAGATTTTGAGAAAAGGTACATTGAAAATGGCCAATGCAACATTGTCAGTATAGGGGTATAGGGGTTGCTGATATCCCTTAAAACTTATTTACGCGAATTTAATTAGAGCTATATTTCTAATTCAATTAATTCAGCTCTCACTGCGCGGCAAGGCAAAAATACATAACACCTCAAAACATCTTCATTAAATATTGCAAAATGGAGGAAAACATAAAACATCAAATACAGTTAAAAACAGGTTTTTTTAAAAAAAACTAATTTTTTACATTAAAAATTAAAACTTTCTTCGCGAAAACAAGCAATTCGGTCAGCGGGCTGGAAGGCAGATATTTCGGTGCACAAAACTGAAACTTCACTTTTCGTCCCATTCGGCAAAAAGACACTGAAAGTTGGTGCAGAAACTGAAGTAATTCACTATTCTACTAAAGAGTTTCAAACATAAACAAGTAGGGCTTCGTTAGGCTTAGATAAGTTTAGGCTTCCCTGCTCCGAGAAATCAATCCCACTGCAGGCTACTGCCCCTTTGGGCACTTCGTGGAAGTTCAACCTCCACTATTACCCTCCAAGAGAGCAGCGCACCACCTGGATATGACACCAGGCAGCACCGGTCGTCTAATGCTCCTACCAGTCGCTTGGGCGAGCCCGTCGCAGCGGGACATTACCCAGCGACCCCGGGGGAGACCCCCGGGTTACTAGCATGGAGGTAGGAAGTAAGATGGAGTCGCCCTAAACAAGTTTCTCCGTACCCTGCTTTGAAGCACCGGCGATCCCTACGTGGTGACCAAAACATTGGGTCATTTACCATTGAGTTCTATGGGATTTGACGCGTTCGGGTGTAAATATTTTGTAATTACGTCGCAAATATACATATAAATGTATATGTTTTCTTTTTCTACAACACTTCAGAGTCCTAAGTACATATTTTTAAACAACATTTCATTCTGAACGGAATTAAATGCTATACTTTTCACAGGACAGTTTTCTCAGAATGGTTTAATTTGAATGAAATATTTTCACAAGTTTTTGTTAATTACATTAGAAAAAAAAATTAAGGTGATTCGATTTTATTCGGTTAAGGTACAAAAATTAAGATCAAAGTTTATTGTATTATTATTATTAAAATTATGCATTATTTCTTTTCTATTTATAGAGCTTCTTCCTAAAATACTTTCTTAAATATGACATGATTTTTTTGCTTCTTTTAAATCGAAAAATGTAAGTCAATTTATAATTAATGCTCTATTCGGTTCATTTTAAATTAGAGAATTACTAGGAATTAGCGAAATACTTTAAATAAGTATTTCGCTAATTCCTAATAATTAAATAGGTATTTAATAGTATTTGACTTTCTCTGAACATTTCTGAAAGGGAATAAAATAAGTTTTTTTTTTTTTTTTAAGTATTATTTTAAAACTTGTAAACTGAGTTATTATAAAATGTAAAGGGAATAATTCTTTTAATTATACTTATCAGATTTTTTTTTTACCCTTCATTTCAAGAATACATATTCCAAAACTCTTTATTACGTTCTTAAGTGCGCATCTCATAGCATTTGCTTTACAATACCTTTTAACAGATTGCTTTCCAATACGAGCAATTCTTGCTTAAATAGTTTTATAACGTATTTGTCAACAGGATTTCAATTTATGTTTACAATTCAATATTAAGGTTATATATTTAGATAACATTTATAATCATTATAAATTAGGTACATTTAATCATTAGATTTCTTCACAGTACTTTCACTGTTTATAAGTGAATAAATTCTTCATTTCAAATACATTTATAAATAATTTAATCAATATTTAAGTATTTTGTCAAAGGCAGATACATGCTTTTTGCAAGCACATGCATAAATACCCATACATATTTCCTATTTATCATTTCCGGCATGTGCAAATCTTTAATTTCGGTGCATTCACTATATTTTTTCGTGTAAAGTAATTTACACTAATTTAGCATACACCCGAAAGTTTTACATAAAAAATATATATGAATATAATTTGAATGAAAATTATAAGTATTATTTTTAATATCCATTCAAAGGTCAGTTTTTCTTCAAAATTCCTCCACGATGGCATCTCTCTCTTTAGGCAGATAGCCCTTGCATGCGTTACTCTATTTAATAAAAACTTAATCTGACCTATGTGCCTAACTACAAATATTTTAACATACATAATTTTATATTTACATTCAGCCGTCAAGTTTCAAACTTTTCAAATCTTCTAGAAAATAAATTTTGGCAGATCTCTTTTAGCAATTTTCTTAAAATCTATATTTTTGTAGTGCAACAGCTTAGAATTTTATAAAACAAATTCATAATCAAAATCGCTGTTGTTAGTTATCGAAAAAATAACCCAGATGTGATTTTTGCGTTAATGTCAGTAAACTACACAAATCGCTATTATCCATCACACTATGAATGTTTCTTTCATGCGAGAGTGTCCCTTTTTCGATTTCTATGGAACTGTCGTGTGTCGAAATACTATCAGAATCTTGTCAAGCGAGCTTTTGAATGTAAACAAAGAACACCCCGTCTGGTGACCCAAGCTTCAAAGCAGTGCTTCACTTCTAGCGCGGAATGGCGCCTCCTCCCTTTCCTATCTCCATGGTTACTAGAACCACGCCGCGCTAGGACGTGCCAGACTCCGAGGCCGGCCAATAAGTGACCTTTCCCAGAGCCTTCAGAACCACCAAGTTCATAAATTTTATACCCCCGTGGCCGAGACTGCCTAGGTACAGATCCTAGCCAGTAGCTTCGCAGAATTCTCTACGTCGACCCCCGGGGGGGGGCATTCGTTAGGCTTAGTAGAACTTCAACAATTTTTAAATTGTTGATAATTATAAAACTATTGCATGCAGATTAAAATTAACTAAAGGCATAAAAGCCTTAACTGGACCATAAGAACCATATAATTAAATCACTTTTATAGCGAAAACTGCATAACTTTTGATAAAAACCTGAGCACACCTGCCGAATGCAACCCAAAACGAGGTGCACAAGTGTATGTTATAGCAGTCCCATGTACAAAATTTCGATGTTCTCAGCCTACTCGTTTTTGAATAATGCGATATATATGCATACGTACGTACGTACGTACAGCTGTCAGAAGAAAATCTTTTCTTAATCCATTTTCAAATTCGTTTTGGGTAAAAGACTCCTTTATTCTGTTCGCACGTACAGACGTCACCCCAAAACATAGTTCAAATGGATTCGAGAGTAGCCAAAATGGATATTTTCGTTAAAATATGATACCCGAAATTTTTCGCGATTACAATACTTCCTTTACTTCACAAAGAGAAGTGAAAATAAAATGAACGGAGAGTAAATATTTTTAACTGTATCAATGAATTGTTATATATAATGTATAATGTCATATCCGCAACTTAGTCTTCCAATATCTACTACTACATTTTTTATTCAGATTGCATTTCCTTTTAAAATAGTATAATGTGTTGCATTATTTTATATATTCTCTCAATTAATTATTTGCCTTAACAATTTATAGTCATCTAGTTGTAATTTTGATGATTTATTAACGCAAAAAAAAGTGTCATTTTCATGCTGAGTCCAGATTTTTACTCAGAGCAAATTTTCAGATGAAAGCTTTTATTCGAAAGACGAAATGCGCATGATCCTGTTGCCAAATTATTTATTCAATTAAAATTCTAAGCTTAATAATTAATTATCCTTATTAGCAAACACCTGTTCTGTGGATTTCTGTAGAAGAAAACTGCTTCTTCTACCATTTAAATCTTCGAATTTTCTTAAACGTTTATTTATTTGTATGTGCAATTAATAACATAAGTCTAAAGTTTAGCAATCATATTCAGAGTTATTATAGTATGAAACTATGTATGCTACGTCTCGTAATGTCGATTCATAATGGTTTGGAACGAAATAAATTCTATTAATAGTCAAAAACAACTAATATTGCTGAAGGAAGAATAGTGTCACTACTTTCAAGTAAATTATGTGCTTACTTTTCTGAATATTTTCGACGCATTTCTATAAATCTTTTACATTTACGTAGGATCATTCAGTTTATAAATATTTAAGTTCTATATTTATCATTTTGTTTTCAAAATTAACTCTTTCTTTATTTTCAACATGCACCATCAAACACTGCAATATTTACTTGAAGAATGATGCATAAAATTGTTTTTCTTTGTTACCGAACGGCAAAATGTTCTCAAAACATTTGTTACGATATAAAACGTAAATGTTGTTGGAAGCTTATGGATACTTTATTTTTGAAATTGCAAAATTTTGCGAAAACGAACTGCTACATAAGTAAATAGTTTGAAAGGAATTTTTTTTTCTAATCCCGAAATTAATTTTGCTTTTTGCATCATCGGAATTTAATGGTTTTGGAAGACATGAGAGACGTGATATATTATATCTAACACAGATGATATATGCTGTGGATCATAAACGTTGAAGGGAATTTTATTTTTAAGCAATATAATATTAATATATATATTCGTTTTCTTTCTATATTTAAATCTTTTTAAAAGTTTAAGTAAGATTCTAATCTAAACTGTCACCCTGAACATCTCACTGTTATAAGATAGCGAAAACTTAAATTTGAATTTTTTGTTTAAATAATTAGAATTGTTTACTTTCTTTCTTACATGTTCGCTGTGTAAAGAACCTTTCTGAATAAATGAAAGTGAATCAAATGAAATTATTGCGTTATTTATGACATTTTGTTGAATCAATTATTCAACTGGAAGAACATTAACATTGCATTTTTGTTTCTCTGCAGTCGCAACATCGTCCCCATTGTTATGGGAGCCCGTCGAGAAGACTATGCCAGATCTGCTCCACCCCATTCCTACATTCATGTCGATGATTTCGCAACCCCCAGAGATTTGGCTCAATACCTTCATCTCCTGGACAAGAACCACACCCTCTACAACGAATATTTCCGATGGAAAGGTACTGGAGAATTCGTCAATACCTATTTCTGGTGCCGCATGTGTGCCATGCTGCACGCACCCCAGTATCACAAGTCTTACCCGGACATGCACCACTGGTGGGCAGGTCCTGGCACATGCAGTGCCGGACACTGGCCAAATCACGTGACAAAACGCCCTGCAACGCAAACTACGGGTGAAGTTAAGGACGACAATGGCTAAGCTGACTAAACTACGTTATTAATAGTAGTCAAGAACTTAAATGGACTCAGCACATAGTTTGTGCAATGTTGATGACACTGCAAGCCATGTTTGGAGACGATAATGTTTAGCCTTTTGTATATTTTCTTCGTTCTCGAATGATTTGTTTAGTAAACATAATTTTGGATACCGGTTTTACGACAGACTTGCATTTTCGTTTCGGAAAATCGCATTCTCTGACAGATTAAGAAATGCGAAAATGTCCTGTGCTTTCCCACTCACATTTCTTTCGTACATTCCACTTCACTGCGTACAAAGAATTTTTTTTTCTGGATTCCTATAGAGATATTTGTACAGCACATTTTTGGGTTTTGTGAACATTTTTATCCGATTCTCTATTGTACCAAACCAATGAATTTCACGTAAGGGCGTGATTAAGGTTCGCAGTAATTAATAATGCTTAGAAATGACCAACCAGCTAAACGTCTAAATCTAAGCGTCTGTTCTAATTGAAAATAATGCATCGGATAAGAAAGGCAGCTTTTACGTGTATTATACTAGTTCGCTATTTGAAGATAATTAAAGGTAAAAGATGAGATCGCTCTTGGTATACCTTATGCTATAACATGCTTACGTCAAAAGCTATTATTTTTAGTGCTTAGCATTGACGAATACAAAACTATACGAAGATTTTTCTTCTTTATTTATCTGTGTTCTGTTCCCTAATTTTGCAAAATAATTTTCGTACAATAGTTTTAACTCATAAATCAGTTTTGGCATTTATCACCTGGTCACTAAGAGCCTGAAGCAGTTTTCTGTTTTATGGTTGTTTACAATTAATGTAATTAAAGTTTTCTGTTTTATTGTTGTTTATAATTTATTTAATTAGATTATATTTTCCAAAATTTGGATTTCGGTAAGGAAAACGTTTTCTAATATACTCATATTTAAATAATAAAAAAATCTTGTTTTCAGTTTCGTTCAGCTTTGTATGTGCAAATTACATCAGATAAAGAAATACATGAATTTTTCACTTGTACTCATTTACTTACTTTTTTGGGTATAAATTTATTAATATATCACTCAACACAGACAAACTGTTATGCGTTTCATTATAAAATTCATTTTTTCCCATTAGTGCTGTTAATGTATTATTAATGAGAGTAGTGTAACTTCATAATAAATTTATCCTGGCATGATCTGCTCAAAGCAATTATAAATACATAAAATTATTTCATTAACAGCATGAATTCGATGGAACAATAAAGTCTAACCTTATTCCTATGTAATTTTGAGAGCGTATTTAGTTAATAACACTAATGGAGCTGAAGTAATTGAAGCAATCTTTATTTATTCATCTTTCATTTAGAAACTGCCTAAAAGTAAATATATCCATGAAAGACAAACCGGTGTAAATTGCATCACATTTTTTGCATTTGTCACCGTCAATTCTGTAGTTAAAGTAATTGTCATTCTTTAAGAGACATTATATTTGGCATAGAGTATGATGAATGGTTTTGACTGTTTTTTTTTTTTTTTTTTTTTTTTTTTTTTTTTTTTTTTTTTTTTTTCAAATTAAAATATCTTGTTCTTTAATTGTTCTAATAAAAATATTTATTAAAATAAGCAGGTTAAATTAATGTTACAGACTTCTTTTTAATCTCTCAATTTATTCCAAACAAAAAATTATTAATTATGAAATATGTAATCCTATATGTAATACAAGCAAGGAAATAAGATCTGAGGACTATTGTGTATTTTATAGAGCATTTGAAAAAATAATATATTCTAAAATCATTCTTTATTATTAAAATATATTCTCAAATAATTTAAATCATCACATATAATTTAAATCACTTAAATTATATCATCAAAAAATTTTTTTTTAAGTTTTACAATATTTAAAATTATTTTTAAGTTTTAAAATAAACTAATGTTATTTATATAGCATTAAAATTATTGTCCTTTGATTTTGTTTTAAACTGCTTATAAAATCAATTTATGTTAGTCTGAATAATAGTCTATATTTCTTATAAAGCCGAACCAGTCTTTACGCTTCAGTTCCAAAACAATTAGAAAGAATAATTTAAAGTAAGTATTTGCACTTCATAAATTCGCTTCATATAAATTTTCTAGTTATCAGATGAAATAACAGAAATGCAGAAAAGATTCAACAACCTTACAAGTTTAATTAAATCTTTTCATAATCCAAAACATATTCACAATAATTAGAAAAAATTATTAATTATACACTAAAGTACCTTATAAGCGAAATGTGATGAATCACTAAAGCTTTGAGAAATCAATTAACTAATTTTGAGTTCCGCAAACAATGCAAGTTACTTGTTTCTACACGAAGCACTGTGTGATTTCTAAGAAAGACAATCTAAAAAAAAAAATTTGTAAAGTATGAGATTGAGGCTATAAGAGATTGGATATATTTTAAGCAACATATATGAAGGTACTGTTTTAAGCAGGTGTATTTCAAATTATGAACGGAATGTAAATTCTAAATTTGTAAATTTTTGTTGCTATCGAATAAACTTTGTAATATAGGATATTTATTGTATTATATTGTGCATAATATATAATATAAGCTATGTAATTTTTCTGCTGTGGGAAAGTCAAAAGTAAATTACGGCATTGAATTATTTACATATTTGAAGTTAATTTCAAAATTTGAAAAAATTATTTTCAATTATCATATGTTATTTAAACGAAGAATTAAGAATTCATTGGTAAGAAGAGTTTTATTTGTTTTCAATTATT